ACCTAAACATTTGAGTGGACATACTCAAATATCCCCTTCTTGCTATTTTTTTATTACCAAACTTCACTTGTTTATGCTTTTCAAACACACAATTTTCGCAAAAATTGAGTTTAAAGTTCTTAAAACTTATCAACAATCCTTTATTAGCAAATGTTTTCATTCCCTTCTCATTCATATGACCAAGCCTCATGTGCTACAATTATGTGACATCATCTGATCTTTCAAAGGATAAAATAGCAATAGTTTTTAGGGTTGTGCTTCCAAGCAGTATATAGATCTCTCCTTGTAGTTTTCCTTTAATCACCACCATTGCGCCTTTAGTCACCTTCAAAAAACCACCTTCTTCAACAAACTTGTACCCTCAATTGTTTAGGGCTTCCTCCCAAGATTTGGTACATGCCATTCCTGAATTTTCCTTTCAGTACCATCATGCAATTTGATTCACACAACTCTTTCGCCTATAACTCCAATAATTTTATTGTCTCCTAATATAACCTTTCTTTCTTGCGTTTCATACGAGGAGAAAAAATGTCTATTAGGTGTCATATGAAAAGATGCGCCAAAATCTAGGATCAACTCGTTCCCTGAGTCACTAGTGGCCAAGGCAAAGTTAGCATCACTATCTTCAAAATTTTCAACTATTATGTTGGCAAAATTTCTTGATTTTCTTTTTTCAGGACAATTCCTTCGAATATACCTTGCCTGGTGACAATGAAAACACTTTAAGGACTGGTGACTTTTAGATTTGAATCTACTCTTTCTTTTACTTCTTGATCCTTTTTCTTAGCTATGCCTTCTTACCACAAATAGTCCATCTACACAATTATCAACACCATATCCAAATACTAATTTTGCTGCTCCTTCATCGTTAAAGCCTATTTGACAACTTTGATTATAATAGAAGACCTACCATACATTATGGTATCATATAAATCATCATAAAACAGGAGTAATGAAGTCAATAAGATCATGGCTTGATCAATATCTTCAACTGTTATTCTAGCAGCTTGCACATCGGTAATCATCTGATTGAAGTTATCAATATGATCTTTAATTAGTTTTTCTCTAGAATACTTGAATGTATACAATCTCTTTCTTAGGTAGAGTTGGTTTGATAAGGTCTTAACGAAATATTTTTCTTATAATGCCTTCCATAACAAATTTGCAGTCTTCTCCTTCAATAACTCTCGCAACACATTATTTGTTAGGTTTAGTTGAATTGTACTCGTGCTTTGGCCATTATCTCTTTCTTTTTAACAAAATACAATGTTTCTAGTAACTTATCAACACCTTCCTATGTCTTTGTCAGGCCTTGTTGGTCTAACAATGCCTACAACTTTAGCTTCTATAAGTTGAAGTCATTGGACCTGTCAAATTTCTCCACTTAAAATTTTGGTACTAAAATTTTGGATTAAGTGTCTCTGATACCACTTGTTAAGAAATCAAAGTTTAATACACTTTAAGTGTGTGAACAACTTAATGGATTTGAGTGGAAGCATATGCAAAATTATTGTGAAAAATGATTGAATAATTCTATCTATCAAAAAATAATTAATACAAGAGATTCTAGTGAGATTCTCTCATACTACAATTGTACTATTACATAGTACTAAAGAGTATATACAAAATCCCCAATGTCTAAATTTAAAATTACACTTATAGAAAATTCTCTCAACTCTTTATTTTTCTCTTACTATAAAGCACTCAAAGAAAACCTTTTTCTTTTCTTTCTTCTGCTTTTTTATGTTGATTTTTCTATAAGAAAATGAAGACACATATTTATAGCAACATAGGAATTCATTTTTACCACACATGCATTTAAAGAAACACATGAAAGTAGGCTCTATGAATTCCTCTTGTAACTTTCCTTCATTTGACTAAATATAAGCTAATTTTAACACAAACTCTAATTCAACACCCCTCAAAGGAACCACTTCTATTAAGACTTCTCTATGCTCGATTGGACTTTCAAGATCTCCTCCAAATTATCTTCCACCTTCTTAACCTTTTTGATGATTCTTCTTGTCAAATCATCTTGTCATATTCTTTCAGCCCTTTCTCACGATAAACCTAATTTTTAGTAGGATATTTTTCTTGTAAGATCTTGGATAGATAAATACTTCAAAATATCTCATATCTACAATGTACCACCTTCAGAAAGAGGTTTTTGAAACTCTAGTAGAGAAGATCAAGGAGAGAGAGAAATTTCAAAAAACCCTAATCAATAGCATATTGTTGAAATATCAAATCTAATTCTTTTCTCATCATATTGTTTAATTAAGCATTTCGTACTATGAAGTGTTAACTTTTAGTTAAATTACATAAATATTAAAATTAATTTCATAAAAAAATAAAAATTGTATTATAAAAAAATAATTTATAAATACTAGATTGAAATTATACAATTTTTGTAACATCAAATGTTTAATTATACAATAATAATAATAATAATAATAATTATTATTATTATTATTATTAGTAGTAGTAGTAGGTAGAGAGTTTACGGAAGTCGACCAATATCAAGTCCATTTTTATGCAAATTTTCTAAGGTTTGGTTAAAAAAGTTTGCATTTATGAGCCTTATGTTCAATGTCCAGCCCACATTTGGATATGTATATTCAGGCAGACATAGTCGAGTTAAGTCATTTTGTCTCTCGCTAAAGTTACATATGTTATCACTTTTGATAGTTAAAAATGTTGGTCTTCAAATTAATTATTCATACATATCATCACTATTATTTAATTTTAGTCATTCAGATATCATTCAAGTATTTTGTTACCAAATTGGTTCTTAAAAACTGTAACTAAATTAGTATGTCAAAAATTTAAAATATTACTACATTAGTGTTTGTGTTTATGAAAGACTAATGTCGTTAAAAAATCTCTAAAAACTAATTTGGTGATAAGAAAATTAAAGAGTTGTAACTAAAATCTTTTCGAATGACTAATTTTATATTTAAGTTTTTCAAAGACTAACGTGGTGATGTATATAACTTTCGAAGACTTAAATCGATAACTTTCTATTTTAATTATTGCATGATAGTTTTATATGTTAGTAAAATATTTAATTTGTAATAAAAAGTAATAAAATTATAATTATCAAAATACATTTTGGTTAGCAAAAATATTAATATATTTTATATAAAAACCATATATATGTGTGTGTGTCATTTTATGTTATTTTCTATTTATCATCTAATTTAAGAATTTATTTTACTAATACTTCCGATTTATTAACTTAGCATTTCTTTGGTGTAAATAATTTTAAGATAGGGTTGGGTTGGTAGCGCATTTAATGTGGGAAAAAAACATTTAGATTTAAAAAATAATCACTAAAGTATTTATATGTTTATTTAATATGTATATATAAGAAATCTTGCATATAACATTTTTTTATGAAAATTACATAAATCTTGTTTATTTAATAAAAAATTACTACATTAATATTTTATATTGAGTGCATTTAAATATATATTAAAAAATTAAGACTTAAGAAAATATGGAGGTATAACCTACTAACCACTTGTTAGATATGAAACCACTCATTGCGTCACTCAATATAGTTATTAAACAAAATAGCTCAATAACTTTCAGCTCAAATTGTTTTTTCAACCTTCACATATACTTTTAGTTTTAAACTAGCCTATTGACTACTGTTTTCCAAACATAACCAAAGCATCTACAAATTAAAATATATATATATATATATATATATATATATATATATGTGTGTGTATAAATTTAAAATTATCATTATTATAGTGCAATTTGGTTACATACATCACATAATGCTATTTAATTTAATAAATAATTAAATTTTAAAAATATTATTTTAAATTTCAATAATAATAATGATTATAAAATTTATTTTAATAATTTCTGTAAATTATTTTTTTTAACTATATATTGTTTTCATAATAACAATATGTTTAAAAAGTATATTTGAAAAAGAGTTTTTGGAAAAGAATGGAAAAGAGGATATATTTTTTAATTTTAAATTAAAAAATTATATATTATTTATTGTGATAAATTTATGATTAATATATTAAGTTAATATACTAATTTATATTTTTTATTTTAAAAATATTAATTTTAAATATATTTATTTAAAATACAAAATTTGTCATCCCTTTTATCTCCTCCAAAACTTCCTTCCCAAACTATTCTTTGACAAAAAATCGTACAATTTCTCTTTATTGATGTCTCTATAACCCGTAATCTGTAAATATATCTAAATTATTTTAATTAATTTTTTTCATCTTTTCCTTAATAGATATTGGACTAATATTCTATTCATTTTGTATCCAGTCTTTTATAGTGAGATCACACCAAAGATAATTGATGGTATAATAATTAAACCTTGTCTTAAATTTGAGTAGTACTTTATTGTTACAAATATTTTTTATTTTTTATTTTATTTGTTGTTATTACGTCTTTTTTTATTTTTACTACTAAACTTGTATTTTCTATCTAACAACTTCATAAATTAAGTTTTTTATCATTTATAAAGTTGATCTTAAACACTTAAAATTAGAACTTCACACAATACTCTCTATTTTTACCTACAAATCATTTTCATCCTATTTTAAGTTAAAATTGCAATGCAAACGAGTTGAACTAAACTCTAATTTGAAATAAGTGAATCGCCACTAATATTGTCGTATAAGCCTATGAATGATTTGATTTCTACAACTGAAAGAAATAAATGCACACCTTCGAATAGATAAATCATATAACCACCAAAAGAAATGTAGAAATTCTATCATGCATCTAAACTAGTTTTGCTTACTAAGTTAATCCTCAACTGTTTTTCCATTGAACAAGAGTGAGACGTACAGCAAATCAATTAATAACATGAAATATAAATGACAAAGAAGGAAATCACTTATAAATAGACTAGTTGGTTCATTAAAACCCCACTGACAATTTTCATATCCTATTTTTTTGTTGAGAAACAATCTTTTGTTAAACACTACATAGAAAATATCTTTAGAGTTACAATGGCTGCGCTTGGAATTCGGGAATTCCTAGTGGCGGCTCTTGTTTTTGTTCTAATTCACTATTGGAGGGTCAATAGACACACCCCAATGGCTTACTGGCCCATTCTTGGAATGCTACCTAGTTTCTTGCTCAACACCCCCATCATCTTTGATTATATAACTTCAATTTTGAAACAAAAAGGAGGAACTTTCATGTTTGAAGGACCTTGGTTATCAAACATGAAAATTCTTTTCACTAGCGATGCATTGAATGTGCAGCACATCACAAGCACAAAGTTTGAAAACTATGGAAAAGGGAATGATTTTAGGGAGATTTTTGAGGTGTTAGGAGATGGGATTTTTAGGTCTGATTCCCAATTATGGAAGTATAATAGAACTTTACTTCATTCTATTTTTAAGCAGTCACAATTTCAGCTATTTATTAATAAAACTATCATGAAGAAGATAGATAGTTGTTTACTTCCATTTCTTGATCATGCATGCAAAGAAGGAATGGAAGTAGACCTACAAGATGCTTTTCAAAGGTTAACCTTTGACAACATCTGCTCCATAGTCTTAGGATTTGATCCTAATTGTCTTTCCATTGAATTTCCAGAAGTAGCATGTGAGAGAGCCTTCAATGAAGCAGAGGATGCCATACTCTATAGACACGTAATGCCAAGATGCTTCTGGAAGCTGCTCAAATGGCTTCAAGTTGGAAAAGAGAAGAAGCTCAAAGAAGGCCAGGAAATTGTTGACAAAATGTTGTACGAACAAATTGCATCCAAATGCAAAATGCAAAGCCAAAGTAGCATCCTAGGTGATGATGAGTCTCATTTTAACTTGCTAAATGTTCTTTTAAACAGTGAAGTAGGAAAAGGAAAAATAGATGACAAGTTTATGAGAGACACAGCAATAAATCTCCTAGCAGCTGGGAGAGACACCATTAGTTCAAGTCTCACTTGGTTTCTTTGGCTAGTTGCAACACACCCGTCTGTGGAAGCTATGATTCTTGAAGAGATTCAAAAACATTCACAAGGTAATTGGAAAGATTTAGGTGTGAAAGGGCTTAGCAAGTTAGTTTACTTACATGCAGCTGTAAGTGAAGCCTTGAGGCTTTATCCTCCTGTACCTTTTGAGCACAAGTGTGCATTGAAATTTGATGTGCTTCCAAGTGGTCACAGGATTAATGCAAATACCATGATAGTATACTCTTTGTATTCAATGGGGAGGATGGAGGAAATATGGGGAGAAGATTGCTTGAAATTTAGACCAGAGAGGTGGATTTCTAACAAAGGAGGGATCATTCACATGCCTTCTTACAAGTTCATCGCTTTCAATGCCGGACCAAGAAGTTGTTTGGGTAAGGACATAAGCTTCAATGAAATAAAGATGATTGCTGTTGCTATGCTGTGGAATTATCACATCCACTTGGTGGAAGGCCACCCCATAACCCCAGGTGTATCTGTTGTCCTTTATATGAAACAAGGCTTGAAGGTTATGCTGACAAAAAGAAGCATTTGATCAAGGGATATCAGTTCTAAATAACTGTGTGATGTTCACTTTCTACGTGTAAGGTTTATTTGAAGTTTAGTAATTTGATCTTTCATGTGTACTAAATGTTAATGTTTGTTTGGTTTTCGTTTATCCATGTAAGAGTATCAATATTTTTAATGTACTTTGTGCTTTTATGTTTGTATTTATATTGATCAAGATTGATAATGTACACGTTATTGTTATCTAGGTTTAGTGATTCTTAAGCTTTTTATTATTTATCCAGGTCTTCGTTAATTGTTATAATCAAGTAAATTGAATTCATTTACGGATCTATATATATTTTAACGCTATTAATTATAATTTACGTATTAAATTAATATTTATAAATTTTTTAATATATTTTCAAGCATGTACATGCTAAGTTCTCTACTTATCATATGCTCTCTAATTTACTTCGTCGACTGTGGAACCAAAAATTATTAAGAAGTTAAAATATGAATTCTGCTTTATTCATTCAAGCAAATTTGTCTATCTTAATCTGCATCAGTTAACCCAAAAAACAAAATCTGTTTTAGACATAGTTATGGTTCATAACGAAAATGAAAATTTGCGTCCTCATTTAATATAAAAGCTATAAATAATTTAAAATCCAAATTAGTATTTGAAAGAAATGAGGGTTGATGGCTGCACTTTTTCAATCGAATATCATAGAAGCACCCACCATGTTAATAATGTACAAAACTTTACATTGGAGAAAACTATATAAAGATTCTAAATAGTAGAGTGCATGGGCTGCATCTTTTCGGCATGCAAGATAAAATCACATACACTTCACATGCTCTGCAATGCAAAATGAGTTGAATGCATTAATTTCGTATGTGGTAGGGGCAACTTACTTGACTCTTTTCACTACATATTGGTCCTCCATTTGTGGTGAGTTAATAGTAAATATTTTTACTTTTCTTTTTATTTTAAAGGAGTTAAATATCCCTATATTTTGGCTACTCGACATTTTTAATTCATTTCGTTCTTCAGCATTTATGACAAAACTGTGATTTGTATCTTCGATTTTAGTCTAAAGACTATCTGTAAATATCTTTCCATAAGAAAGCTAAATAAATAAAGCATTACATATCTCATATCTCATGAGATTTTATATATGTATATATAAAAGCTCAAGAGATCCTAGGCATCACAAAAGAAATAAGATGACATCATAAATGTGATATTATTGTCGAAAACGTTGAAAGTACTACTAAATGCTTAGCCACAACTATTAAATTCTTTCATTATATACTGAACTTGAGCACATGATGCATTTATTCTATTGTCCTTAATGTGAAGGCTGTGAAGGTATGCATGTGTACAAATTGTACTGAATATAAATGAATTATTTTAACTATTCGTTTTCCTCGATTTCATCTCAATAATTATTTGGTTAAGTTTGTTTATTTGATTAAAATAAAACAAATAAAATTATAAAATTAAATTTGATTATTTAAATGAATCAAACTCAAATTTTATAAGTTTTATATTAATAAATTTCAGATAATATACTTATAATTTTGTGCATCGTCTTTTTATATACAGTTTCTATTTTACAAATATGGCATTTTCAAAACAATTACGTTTTTTTTTAGAAAAATTGCCAATGGTTTGAAACGTCGTTAATAGTTTTTTTCAGCATTTTTTTTATATTTAAAAATTATCATTGACAACGTTTTTTTGAAATATTTTTTGCCACAAAATTTTGTCATTGACAATTTAAAAAAAATTTAGACACAAAAAATTATTATTGGCGACTTTTTAAGCTTAAAATATTATAAAAATAACTTTATCCATTCAAAAATTGTCATTTGTCTTTTTCTTAAATAAAAAATAGTGTATAGTGACTTTTGAATCTTGATATATAAATATTTATTTCTCGCTCACAGCATATTGTAAGAGAAGATAACACAATACATTTCTTAGTTCTTTGCTTTATGCTTGAAGAAAAAAATGAGTGCAAATGTATTAATGTACTTTAATAGTGAGATTAATGAATCCATATTTTTACTAGTATTTTCATGTAGTTTTAATCCATTTGATAAAGAAAATATGTTGAAAAAAACAGAAAAACTCATAAAAATAGAATAGTTAAGGTTTTCTTTTAGATACATTGTTATTTTAGCATTTATGAATTTTCTGTGTAGAAATTAATAATTCAATCATGTTTTTGTAGGAAAATATGAGCAAAGTTCATAAAGATGGAAGATCAATGAAAGGATAGAAGAAAGTAGCAAAATCTAGACTAAAGAACTAAGATTTAATGGAGTTTAAGCTGGGCGTGATCACTTTTGCTGGCAAAAGTGATTGTTCCAGAGCTTGGAAATAAAGTGGATTCTGTGCGTAATCACTCTTATCCATAAGAGTGAGTGTTCCAAAGAATGTCGTAGTAGAGCACAGTAGCGCGTGATCACTTTCGTTGGTGAAAGTGAGTGTTCCAGAGAGACTTCAATCTCAGTAGAGTTGCGCGTGATCACTTTCGTTAACAAAAGTGACCACACGGCCTCTGGTGATCACTTTTGTTCATGAAAGTGATAGTTCCAGAGAGCTTCTCATCAAAGCAAGATGCGCGTGATCACTTTTGTTCATGAAAGTGAACACGCGGCCTCTGCGTAGTTACTTTAGTGCAGAAGAGTGATAACACGCGAAAAGCGAGAATTCTATAAATTGCAGAAAAGCTCAGAAACTTCTGATCTTTTCTCATTTTTTAATTTTTACACCTTAGGAGAGTTAGAGAGGGAGATTAGGGGCGACTTCCAAGCTCTGAACCTTGAGGAATCAAGTTGGGGATTGGATTTATGAAGAAATTCTACAGCTCCTCTTCTTCTACTCTTTCTTTCTCTTTTTCTTTTATGAACATGTTTTGATTTCTTTTTCTTATGGATTGATGGATCCGATTTTGATATTGTAAATTGATTGTGGATCTGAATTTTAAGATCTTGATTGTATTGAACGTTTAATTCTTTCCTTAATGCAGTTCTTGAATTTGCTATTCAATTGAATTGAACTTAGAGGATTTTCATCAATGGAAGTTGAGTTAATTTCTTATATATGAATTGAATGTCAAGGTTATGGATATCTTAGGGATAAGAATTCGTGATCTTGTGATCTCATAATTTCCAATGCCTAATGCAATATTTAATTAATTTACACCTAAGGAATTAGGGTAGTTAATTGAATATTAGGATTATTGAGGCAAGAGATTGTCCTTTGATTCAATAAGTGAAATTGATCATCAATCAATTAAGGAACTTAAAGTTCAGATCTACTTCAGTTTTGCAATTGATGAAGAGGTGAAATCAATCCTAACTTCATTCACACATTATTTCATTAATAAAATTCGTAGCTCTGTTTTGCTGTTATTTTTTTGTTTCTGCATTCTATTGCTTTTGTTCTTAAATGCTTCAAAATAATGCAAATTTCGCTTAGCTCAACTAGTTATTGATTTGTGAAGTGATAATTGATAGAACTAATCCCTGAGGATGATACTTGGAATTCAAACTGAATTCTAAATTTTATTACTTGTTACAACTACCTAGTACACTTGTTAGTTAGTGTTCTCTTAACTTTGTGACAGAGATTATTATAAACATGAGTGATGGAGTGATATTTATATGTGAGAAACTACCATGGGTGTATGTTCCATATAATTTTTCATTTGGAAAATTGAAGTATTAATTTAGTCAAAATATTAAAGTTGAGGCTACAAAAACAATTAAGAAAATAACCTACAAGTATCCAATCTCACTTTTTGGTGGTTTTATATAATACCAAACAATTCCAATAAGCAACTACAATTATCTTGAACAGATGTTCTAAATACATCATACATATCATTTCTTAACTTTCGCCATTGAATTGTATTTAAAGAAATTCCAGTTATTATTGATCATTAAGGTGGCGATAAGGAGGACGAAGCATATGCAAGTACCATTCCACACAGAAAGGTAGAATGAAAAAAAAAACATAACTGAAAGTGATGATTATGACTTTAAAGAACAATATGAAAACAATAAGAATAGTGAATATGAGGATGTGAATAAATATGTAGTCGATTAGGACATGACTTTATCAAACTTGGTGGTTGAACAATATCTATTTGGGAAGTAACATTTCATGCGCACCTTAGATCTTAATGTTATGCATTTGAGTTTCTAAAGTATGCATGCAAAGTTAGTTCTATGAGATTTATAATTATTTTACTAGTCTTAATCAATTTATGTTTGATAGGCTACTATGATGTAGATGGAGAACTTTATATTTAAATACAATTTAATGACAGAGAAGTTGTTTGACAAGCAATTAAGCATTATAATATTTCAAAAAGAATTGACTACAAAATGTTTGAGTCATAATTATATATATTTTATTTTAAAAGCATTAACTATAATATTAATTGTTGATGACTTATTCAAGCTAGTTTTAAAAAAATGTAAATTAAGTATAAACATGTGTTATTTAATGAGTGAATGCAAAGAAGGGTTGCAAAACCCTCTCAATTTCTCGGTATATAGTAAGAAATATAATACAAGAAAGTGTTTATGAATTAGTAAGCATATAAAGAAATCATGTCCAATTATAACAAGAGGCAAAAGCTTATTAATTTTTTTATATTTTTAAAATTAATTACCAAAATAAAATAAAATTTAAGTAATTTTTTATTTTAGGTCTTTTTACTATGTCATTACTAATTTTGTCTAGAACAAAACTTAATTATAAAAAGATGAAATTATATAATTGAGACGTGTCAAAACAATATTTTTAAAAATTAAATTAAAATAACTAAAGATAAGTATAGCATGCGATATAATCACAATAAATTTCATATCTAACGTAGATAAATTTAATCTCTAACACAAGACAAAACTTGGTTCATAATAACTGCTTTCAACAGTGATAGCACAGCGCCTTTGATTCATGATCCAAATCCCTATTCTCCGCATGATGTTGGTGCTCTATCTACACCAATGTCAAATTCTACT